AGGAAGAAGATAAACTCTAAACTAGTGCAATCAGTTTAGCTATAAAGAACATACTCCTGCATACTCCATATGAATGCCGGTCTCTCTCTCTCTCTCTCTCTCTCTCTCTCTCTCTCTCGCAATATCGCGACCGCCGTCAACTCCATCTGCTGGCGCTTGCTTCTACCATAAAGGCAGGAAGCTGTCCAAGCCTGTCCAAGCCGCTACTGGCGCTCGCTTGCCATTTTGACTGACGCCTCGTCTGGATCCTCGTAAACAGTTTAGCTCCTGCTTGACCGCGCCTGGAGCGACGGGGAGACGCTATGTCGAAGCGCAGGATCGAAGTCGTGGATCCCTATATCAAACGGAAAACCACGTGAGTGCATCAGCCCGTGCCCTCGTTCATGGAGGACGCGGACGGCCAGGCGACACTCGTCCCCCTTTGCCATGTGCAGTGCCGCGATATCAGACCAGGCCGATGCCTTATCGCGCGCGAGCTGCTCGCCAGCGCGCGCGTGAGCGCGCGCGATCGTCGCCTACGGAGCCTCGGGTCCCGTACGGGACTCGTCACTTCGAAGGCCGTCACTTCCGGCTATCAGAGAGACTCGTAGCTACGCTCCGTAACGGTTCTTCGGACCTGCAACGAAAACACAAAACCACACTTTTAACAGTCACGCACTTTCCTCAGCAAGCGCTGCGCACCATGTAAAACACTTGTTCGCACGCATCGCCGTAATTCCATTGGTCTCGTACGTGTGTCGATGTGTGCGACAACAATATCTCTACCACCATTCTGCACTTAGCTCTGTATTCTGTAAAACTTTCGCTCCACGAGCTCTGTGGCACTTTAGCGCTCTCTTCTTCAAACGTTCCTCGCTCTCCGGTGTCACACAGCTCGTAGAGACGCAGCGTACGGAGCACTTTTACAGAATACACCCCTTGCTTTCGACTTGGTGCGTTCGCCAACATTTGGCGTCCAGCTTGTTGCGCGGCACGTAGGCCGTTGGAATGGAATGGTCACACTATGATCGTTTTGCAGGGACAGCTCCATCTCCAACAATGCAATGGGCGCAGGGTCCACGGCGGCGAAGAGCCAGGTGCAGTTCAATCCGTACACCATGCTGCCATACACGCCAAAGTACTACGATCTCTACAAGAAAAGGGTCACTCTGCCTGTGTTTGAGTATCGCACCGATTTCATGAGATTGCTGTCGCAGCACCAATGCATCGTTCTCGTCGGAGAGACGGGCTCTGGTAAGACCACGCAGATACCGCAATGGTGCGTCGAGTATTCGAGAAGTATCGGAAACAAAGGAGTCGCCTGTACTCAGCCTAGAAGAGTGGCAGCCATGAGCGTCGCTCAGAGAGTTTCGGAAGAGATGGACGTTGCCTTAGGTATGTCTTATAATTACTTATTGCAGTCGGGAGAAATTTAGAGGATAGCTTGCTACCTTCTCTCGAAAGCTACCGATACAAATTCTGTCTGCTTCTGTATCTTTCTCCGGGAAAATAATGAGTGCTTGTATCTGAGTCAAAGGAATTTAGCAAGTGTATCTCTTCACTGAATAAATTGAAGAATTATCTCGTATCTGTTGATTTGATGAAGAAAAGTCGAGCGTAATTAAATAGTAGCTATTAGGACCAATTTATGAGCAAACTCACGATTTTAAGACGTGATAAGGAACACTCACTTAGTAAAGTTACAAATTTAACGTGGTTGTTTTGACTTGACTCAGGCCCAGTTGTTCATTTCCTGGTTAATTCTTAAGTAGAGGTTGATCGTCTCTCCGTCTCTTCTCAAATAATGACATAGAAACAGATGGAGAGTCGACTAACTTCTGGTTAACCAGAAAGTGAAAAACACGGCTCCAGTTATCTTCACAAATGAATGCACTGGTGATATCGTGATACTACCAGAGGCTGCGTTGCAACGGTAATAAATAAAAAATTGTATCGACAGGTCAAGAAGTGGGATACAGTATTCGTTTTGAGGACTGCAGTTCCCCGAGGACTGTGCTCAAGTACATGACCGACGGTATGCTGCTTCGGGAAGGCATGTCCGATCCCATGCTGGATGCTTACCAAGTGATACTGCTGGACGAAGCTCACGAAAGAACGTTAGCCACCGACCTGCTGATGGGTGTTTTGAAAGAAGTGATCAAGCAGAGACCGGACTTGAAACTTGTGATTATGAGTGCTACCTTGGACGCCGGCAAGTTTCAGCAGTACTTCGACAATGCACCGCTTATGAACGTACCTGGTAGAACGCATCCGGTTGAGATATTTTACACGCCGGAGCCAGAGAGGGATTACTTGGAGGCGGCGATTAGAACTGTCATTCAGATACAGATGTGCGAAGAGATTTCCGGGGATCTTCTGCTGTTTCTGACCGGTCAAGAGGAGATCGAGGAAGCTTGCAAGAGAATCAAGAGGGAGATGGACAATCTGGGGCCTGAGGTTGGTGAACTCAAGTGTATACCGCTGTACTCGACACTGCCGCCGAATCTTCAACAGAGAATATTCGAGGCTGCACCACCTACCAAAGCTAACGGTGCTATCGGCCGCAAAGTTGTCGTCTCGACTAATATCGCAGAGACGTCGTTGACCATCGACGGAGTCGTTTTCGTCATAGATCCTGGTTTTGCTAAGCAAAAAGTAAATACAAAGTTTTAATTAATTTGAATTAATAAGATTTTACTGTCGTGAACTTGTTATTAACTTCCCCCCCCCCCCCTCGTTAACAGGTGTACAACCCTAGAATTCGTGTCGAGTCTCTCTTGGTGTCGCCCATTAGCAAGGCCTCGGCGCAACAGCGTGCCGGTCGCGCTGGCAGAACAAGACCTGGAAAGTGTTTCAGATTATACACGGAAAAGGCGTACAAAAACGAGATGCAGGACAATACCTATCCCGAGATTTTGCGTTCTAATCTTGGAAGCGTCGTGTTGCAATTGAAGAAACTTGGCATTGACGACTTGGTACGTGTCTATCACAATGTTGCGATATTTGCTTTTGAATAACATTGCTTTGAATTGTAAAAATGACTTTTTCACACGTTGCGCGACAGGTACATTTTGACTTTATGGATCCACCGGCGCCTGAAACACTTATGAGAGCTTTGGAACTTCTCAATTATCTAGCAGCTCTTGACGATGACGGGAACCTGACGGATCTCGGCGCGGTGATGGCGGAATTTCCATTGGATCCCCAGTTGGCGAAGATGCTTATAGCTTCTTGCAATCATAATTGCAGCAATGAGATACTCAGCATTACTGCTATGCTCTCAGGTAACGTATTGGGGTTTGCTATACGCAATAATGTATTGTAACACTTTACTAATAACTTAATAATAGGATATTCTCTCTTTATATTATATAGGATTTCCCCGAATGTCTAAGGGGGAGGGGGGGAGTTGTGTTTACGATGCTGGAACTTGGTCCAAGTTTTAGTTTTGAGAAATATTTAGCCAATCAATTTGCAGTTATTCCATAAAAGGACCTGGACCAAGTTCTAGCATCGTAGACACAGGTCTTAAGCTAGATTTTGAGATCGGGTAGTAAGTTCAATTCTGAACCAAAAAATTCTTATAAACGTGGGTCAAAAATGCTTCATAAAAAAATTAATGTCTAACATCTCTAAAATCATGTTTTTTTTAAGTTTTAGCGTCAATAATCAAAAAAACTGTTGTGTATTTAAAATTGGTTATCTAGAGATCTATGAGATACAGTAAAAATACTTTGGTCTCTTTTGAAAGATAATTTAATTCTCTATAATTTTTTCGACTACTCTTCATTAAAAGAAGCATACATTCCTAGTTATTTGCAAAAATGTATTTGAAAAACGTGATTTTTCCGCTTAAAGAAGCAATTTTAGACCCACAAATATGGGACATTTTTTGTCCAGGATTAAATTTCTTCTCAAAGTCCATCTGAACGTTCGGGAACACCCTGTATATTATTCACCATTAATCTATTACGAAAGTCATAAAATGTATAAGAAAAAACACTAAAAACAAAGTAATAGAATCAGAATTGTGATAAGATAACGTGGTATATTGACGATTGACATGGTATTAGTCCCACAGTGCTTTGTGAGGCCGAACGAATCCAAAAAAGCTGCGGATGATGCAAAGATGAAATTTGCACACATTGATGGCGATCATCTAACATTACTTAACGTGTATCATTCTTTCAAACAACGTAAGTACTCACTTCTTATTATTTCTATCGTGAAACACGTAGTTCCATAGTTCCATCTATGACGAATTGCTTGTAGATATGGATGATGCTCAATGGTGTTACGATAATTATGTGAATTATCGGTCGCTGAAGAGCGGAGACAACGTCAGGCAACAGTTGAGCAGAATAATGGACAGATTTGTGTTGAAACGCACTTCGACGGATTTCAATTCAAAAGATTATTACATTAACATCAGGAAAGCTCTTGTCAATGGTTTCTTCATGCAGGTAACAAATATCTAGTCTCTTTTCATGCGTCTATGGTCTGTTTTTTTTCTCTCTCACACATCTTGATTTTGTTGTTCCAACAGGTAGCACATTTAGAGAGAACTGGGCATTATCTGACCATCAAAGATAACCAGGTAGTACAACTGCATCCGAGCAGCTGTCTCGATCATAAACCAGAGTGGGTTATTTACAATGAATTTGTGCTCACTACTAAAAATTACATCAGAACAGTCACCGACATCAAACGTAAGTTTCTCCATTGCACTTCGTTACAATCTGTACACACGTTTACGCTGCGTTACGTGGGGTCTAGAATGCAAGTCTCGGAGTCGCAGTCGTAAGAATAGTTGACTATGACTATGTTTACACGGTACTCTAATCGGGTTTAATAACATCCGTAGTTAAAGGGCTGGCCAATCACAGTCATTCCATTCTTCTGAGGAATAGTTGTGATTGGCCAGTTTTATAACTACGGATGTTATTAAACTTGATTAAGAATGATGTGTAAACGTAGTCTATGATTGGTCAATTCTTATGTATCTGAGTGAATTGACCGTTGATCATTCTTACGACTGCGACTCCGAGACTCGCATTGCAGATCCTGCATTATTTCTTTCCTTTCGTCGTTTATTATAATTAGTGGCTTCCGTTGGTTGGCGTTTTCTTTATTGAGCTTTCATATTTCTTTTTACAGCCGATTGGTTGCTCATGATAGCGCCGCAATACTACGATCTCCAAAATTTCCCCCAGTGCGAAGCGAAGAGGCAGCTCGAGCTCACCCAGGCGAAATTAGATTCGAAACAGTATCAGGAAGGCTTCTAACCTCTATATACCTTAGACATATTTGGAAATCGCAAGAAACTGTCGAGAATGCTCAGTCAAAATCCTGCTTTTATCGTGGCGAACTTCGGCACGCGACTTTCTCACCTATCGGAATCACATCACATACAAATCATTGTGAGACACATTATGGAGAATCACTTTCTGTCCTTCACGCAAAAGGCACGGAAGAGATACATTGGAACATTTAGGTTTCCTGACGAGCCCGGCGCTGGCTTGTACGATGTAAAAATTGAACATTTAAAAAATTTAATTTAACCTTTCGATATCTAAGCCAAACGGGGGAAAGGAAAATGGACAATTTATTAACTTGAAACACACAGCAAAAGCATAGTTAATCGATAAGAGGGGTTATTTATGTACATTCAAGAGAATACGTAGTCTCTAAGTAATTTTAACAGTAGAGTTCATTAATCGACGTTTACATTCGAACGCATTCGGAATGTCACTAGATATAATAGATTAATTTTTGTATTAAATGTTGACCATATAATGTGAAGAAGGTATATAAAATGGCCACTACATATATAGTAAAAAAAAAAGGGAACATAGTCCTCGTATTTGCCTAAAAATTGTCTCGAAAAGAAAAAAAATTGTTTTTTTCACTAATGTCATGTCGCTCCTCTCGCCGTGGACTCTGATACGACTTGTCCCGTGCTTTATATTCCGTGCTCCTCCTCAGATTTAGAATATGTTGCGGTGTGTACGGTGGCATTTTTAAGTGGAATGGATAGCGAGAATGATCATATGCTTATAAACGCGCATGAACTTTTTACTAAAACGAGATAGAATGGAACAATTTCTAGACGCGCGTCTGAAAGAAATCAAATTGATGAGGGGGCAAAAGTATTTATGATATATTAATAGAATTAAAGCCATTCAGCACACAACATACACATACACGAATACACAAACACGATGGCCAATTTATGAAAAAGCAGCATTCAGTGTAATAAAGCATCTTTATTAGCACCTGAAAGGAAAACTGAATTTGAGTATCCTGTATGTTTATTGTGTTCATCATTGACATTCTACACGTATAACGATGAATGTATGAATTTTTTTTTTAAGGCAAGGAAGGACCAAATAATTCCGTCTTAAATGTTAAAAACAATTTCTGTAATTAACTCTTCAATTGTGTTGCAGCTAACATCTGTTAACTGTTTCTCTATTTATGGTAAACTTGGATATAACAAGATACTTATTCGATTTTGTAAATAACTACGAAAGAAAAAAAGGAAAGGTTTTTATGACAATGCGAAATAAGTTATAACGAATGTTTTGTTGCATTATACGTTGTTCATTCCAATAAAAATTCGAAGCTTTTATCTCAATATTAGCATGATTTTTATTTCAAGTCTGGCCAAAGAGATCGACAAATATTCAGTTTATTAAGTTATTAATCTGATTTGAAAACTCTTTGTGGTGAAAAAGAGGGATTGCATTGTGTTACTTTGGATATTTGTCATTCCATGCGTTTCTAATTTCGGAATGTATGACGTTGCAATTGCGGACATGCGCAAACGAGCGATTTTGCGTTCCGAAATTCATCAAAGTATTCCCCATTCGCTGTCCGTATTGGGCAATGGATTAGGATTGAGATTGGGTTCAATTTTGACCAATCGGAGCAATTAATAAAATCAATTACAATAACCTGTCTGTAAAACTATAAAGGTGGATTAAAATTGTCAATTCAAAATTCAGTGAAAAAAATGATAAACATGGCGAACCAATCAGAATCTGGATACCGCATGTCCAGACTCTGATTAGAGGGTCTCTAGCCAATCAGTCCCAGTCTACAATAGATGATTTAAGCCCTAAGCTTTAAGAAATTGGCCAATCACGGTCAAGTATGAGTAGAATGCGCGACTGTGATTAGTCAATTTTTTAAGGCTTAGGGCTTAAATCTCTATTGTAGACTGGGACTCACGAG